ATTTTTTCCCCCACCCCTATTTCATTTTAACACACCTGACTGAATTGTGCAGATTCTGAAATAAATCTAAGTCAGTGTCACTTCTCCTTCGAGTGAATGCTCTCTACTTTGTTTTGCTTTCAGTTTCTGCCACTCTCACCCTTCTACATTTATTTCACTGCCTTCCATCGGCTGCACCAGCGAGCCTTAATTTTCCTGGCGATTATCCTGGATTATTTGGTGTCAGACAATGTTGAGACTAGCAAAGGGCTTTGTGGTTTACTCGGACTTAAAATGTCTTTGTGAAAGTTTTCAGGATTTCGGATTATTACAAATTGCATTTAAATTTCATCTAAAAAGGAGGATTTATGAAAATATTGTATGATATTCTTGAGGTGGATAATCTTTGGAATTTCCCCAGAATTGTTTTAAGTCATTTGTGTTTTTATGATCTCAGGTGTCCAGCATATTAAAAGGCAGGATATTGTTTTGAAGTGGGAGCTGGGGGAAGGAGCGTTTGGCAAAGTCTACCTGGCAGAGTGTGCAAACCTCAGCCCCGACAACGACAAGATGCTCGTAGCCATCAAGGTGAGTAGCTGCCAAAAAAGAAGGTAATTTAACCATTAATCCGGCTTTGTTCATTGGCATCGGTAGTGAAAATGTCAGCAGTTAGCATGAGGTCTGTGCGGCAGAACATGTTGAAGTGATTGACAAAACTACAACGCACAAAAAAGATTTTTACTGCAGCATTTGGCTTTTAAACCTCATCCTGGTGCTTTTACACCTGATTAGCTTATTTAATACAATTGAGTGTAACATCAAGTTCCTGCTTTTTTCCTATGCAAACGGTAAAATTCACTGTTCTCATATCACTGGCTTGCAGTTTGAGACTTTAGGACAATGTCTGTGTGTCAGTCTGCTTTTTATGCTACGCTATGTTAAAAAAAAACAAAAACCCTAAAGTCCTCATTAAGGCTCTCAGCACTAACAAACATGACGGTACAGTGCACTTACAGTTAATACTCACATGCTGAAATTACATCCTGCGGTTTCAGAGAGTTGTTTTTGTTTAAGAACAGTCAGCTGATGTACTACGCGGCTCCTGTTACAACAGGTTAATGCAAACCGCAGCGGATTAAAAAAGGCGATGGTGAATATCGGCTCAGATTTATCATCCCATTAATCAGACGTATGCTTTTATAACACGTCGTCAGTGAGCTGAGGAGGGAAATTCGAGGCCCAGACAAAGAATGAAACTGTTTTTCAAATGTATGAACCACACAGTCTCCTTTTATGCTCCACACTGTCTGTTGATTTGGAACTTTTGAAATTTTAAAAGGAAAAATTTACATTTTTATTTTTCACCTGCACTAGCTTTGAACTGTGACACTAACTGTCACAGTTCAACGTCATTTGTATTTGTGTATTTTGCTATAAATCCAACACTCTGCTTTTTATTTATTTATTCTTTTTTAATGCTTTTCTTTACCCCTGTCTAAAAGCCCAAACGCAGTTCCTGACAGGCTGTGGCAGAAGCAGAGACGACTTTAGCCAACAAGAATAGCAAAACTAATTCATATG